TACTAGGCAGCCATGCTGGATGTTTCAAAAAGGTTTTACCAGTATGAACCAATGATTTTCAGTGGGTGGAGAAATCATAGATGATCATTTTTTTCTTTACACTTTTATTTGGGACTTACTGATTTTTTAAAACTAACTGATATGTTATTTTTATAATTATATTAAAAAGTAACACTACTGTCCAGCTGGAGTGGCTCAGTTGGTTGAGCATCAGCTTGTGCACCCAAAGGTTGCCAGTTTGATTCCTGGTCAGTGCATACACATGGGTTGAGGGTTTGATCCCCAATTGGGGAGTGTACAGGAGGCAACTGATCCATGTTTCGCTTCTCCCTCCCCTCCCCTCCCCTCCAAGCAGCAAATTTAAAAGCATCTGTGGCTGAAACCGTTTTGGCTCAGTGGATAGAGCATCAGCCTGCAGACTGAAAGGTCCCAGGTTTGATTCCGATCAAGGGCATGTACCTTGGTTGCCAGCACATCCCCAGTAGAGGGTGTGCAGGAGGCAGGTGATCAATGTTTTTCTCTCATTGATGTTTCTAACTCTCTATCCCTCTCCCTTCCTCTCTGTAAAAAATCAATAAAATATATTTTTTTAAAAAAGCCTGGTCAATGTGGTTTAGTGGTTCAGCGTCCACTCAGTTCGATTCATGGTCAGGGCACATGCCCGGATTGCAGGCTCAATCCTCAGTAGGGGCGTGCAGCTGATCAACGTTTCTCTCTCATTGAGGTTTCTATCTCTCTGTCACTCTCCTTCCCTCTCTCTATAAGGTCAATAAAAACATATTTTAAAAAAAGAAAAAGAATAACACTACAGAATTCAAAGGGAAAACAAGGAAGTAATAAAACTAAGAACAGATTTCTTTTTAAAAAAATCTCCCTCCCCCCCTTCCCCCCCTCTCCCCCCATACTCTCTTCTACCTCCTCTGATCCTCCTTTCCCTCTGGGAATTACAGTTGTCTGTGTCTATGAGTTGCTTTTCTTTTTTTTTTCTTCTTAATTTCTTCACCTTTTTCACCCAGCCTCTCAACCTCTCTCTCCTCTGACAGTTGTCAGTCTGTTCTCTATTAGTCATTTTCTACTTTGTTAGTTTATTTTGTTCATTAGATTCCACATGAGCGAAATAATTTGGTACTTACCTTTCTCTGACTGGCTTATTTCACTTAGTATAATGCTTACCAGGTCTATTCATCATTTTTTATTATTTTGCTAGAGGCCTGGTGCACAAAATTCGTCCATGGGGGGTGGTTCCTCAGCCTGGCCTGCACCCTCTCCAATCTGGGATCCTTCTTGCAATCTGGAACCACTGGCTCCTAACCGCTCATCTGCCTGCCTGCCTGATCCCCCTAGCTGCTCTCCCCTGCCTGCCTGATCCCCCTAACTGCTCCTCTGCTGGCCTAATCCCCCTCCCTAACTGCTCTCCCCTCCTGGCCCGATTCCCCTGCTTATCTGCACTTCCCTCCTGGCCTGATTCCCCTGCCTATCTGCTCTCCCTTCCTGGATTACAGTTGTCTGTGTCTATGAGTTGCTTTTCTTTTTTTCTTCTTCTTAATTTCTTCACCTTTTTCACCCAGCCTCTCAACCTCTCTCTCCTCTGACAGTTGTCAGTCTGTTTTCTATTAGTTATTTTCTACTTTGTTAGTTTATTTTGTTCATTAGATTCCACATGAGCGAAATAATTTGGTACTTACCTTTCTCTGACTGGCTTATTTCACTTAGTATAATGCTTACCAGGTCTATTCATCATTTTTTATTATTTTGCTAGAGGTCTGGTGCACAAAATTCGTCCATGGGGGGTGGTTCCTCAGCCTGGCCTGCACCCTCTCCAATCTGGGATCCTTCTTGCAATCTGGAACCACTGGCTCCTAACCGCTCATCTGCCTGCCTGCCTGATCCCCCTAACTGCTCTCCCCTGCCTGCCTGATCCCCCTAACTGCTCCTCTGCTGGCCTAATCCCCCTCCCTAACTGCTCTCCCCTCCTGGCCCGATTCCCCTGCTTATCTGCACTTCCCTCCTGGACTGATTCCCCTGCCTATCTGCTCTCCCTTCCTGGGCTGTTCCCCCTAACTGCCTACCTACTCTCCCTTCCTCTCGTGCCCTTTGAACCCCTGGTGCAGGCAAGCTGAGCACTCTCTGCTGCGGCCCTGCCCCTGTCCTGATTGTTTGTTATGTGATGGCGTCCCAGCAATTTGCATATTCCTCTATTATTAGTTTTTTGCGTACAAGTAGTATTCCATTGTGTACCATAGCTTTTTATCCACTGATTTCTAGAGAGAGTGGAAGAGATAGAGGAGGTGGTGAGAAACAGCTAGAGGAGAAAGACACATTGATTGGTTGCCTCCCATACTCACCCCCGCTGGGGAACCTGCAACTGAGCTATGTGCCTTTGACGGAGAATTGAACCTGGGACCCTTCAGTGCATAGGCTGACACTCTAACCACTGAGAAAACTGGCCAAGGCTGGACCATAGTCTGGGATGTTTCCAAATCTTGGCTATTGTAAAAAATGCTGCAATGAAATAGGGGTGTATGAATTCTTTCAAATTAGTGTTTTGGGTTCCTTTGGATATAGTCCCAGAACTGGAATCACTGGGTCATAAGGCAGTTCCATTTTTAATTTTTTGAGGAAACTCCACACTGCTTTCCACAGTGGCTGCACCAACCTGCATTCCCACCAAAGGTGCATGAGGGCTCCCTTGTCTCTGTCTCTCCACCAACACTTGTTTGTTGGTTTATTGATGATAGCCCTTCTGATAGGGGTGAGGTGATATGTCATTGTAGTGAACAGATTTTTTTTGTTGTTAATCCTCACCCGAGGTTATTTTTCCATTGATTTTTAGGGAGAGTGGAAGACAGAAACATCGATGTGAGAGAAACACATCGATTGGTTGCTTCCTGCATGTGTCCCAACCAGGATCGAGCTAGAGAGGAGCCTGCAACCAAGGTTGTGTGCCCTGGACTGGAATTGAACCTGGGACCTTTTGGTCCATGCCAACATTCTATCCACTGAGCCAAATCAGCTAGGACGGATCTTTCTTTTTATAAAAAAATATATATTTTTATTGATTTCAGAGAGGAAGGCAGAGGGAGAGGGAGATAGAAATAGAAACATCAATGAAGAGAGAGAATCATTGATTGGCTGCCTCCTGAATGCCCCCCCCCCTTCCTGGTTCATAGGTCGACGCTCAAACACTGAGCCATGCTGGCTGGGTGGAACAACAGATTTCTAATTCTACCATGGCTAATTTGACTACACAGATCATTTGCTCCCAAGCTCCTATTCTAGTCCATATCACTTTTGAGGGCCCTAAAGAGCTGCTCACTTTTTCATTTTCTTCTTTTTTTTAAAATATATTTTATTGATTTTTTACAGAGAGGAAAGGAGAGAGCTAGAGAGTCAGAAACATCGATGAGAGAGAAACATCGACCAGCTGCCTCCTGCACACTCCCCACCGGGGATGTGCCCGCAACCAAGGTACATGCCCTTGACCGGAATCGAACCTGGGACCTTTCAGTCCGCAGGCCGACGCTCTATCCACTGAGCCAAACCGGTTTCGGCACTTTTTCATTTTCAAGATAATTCCTCTTGATAGCTTCCAGCAGACCTCATTGAGGAAAGAATGGAAGTCTATAGAACTGATTGCTCATTGAGGGTAAATAACCTAATATACCCACTCAGGTACCTACCAGCACATAAAGAAATTACAGAGACTCCCCACTAACTTCTTTCTTAATTTCCCAGAGATAGAGTAAAAGTTTATGTTTTCCCCAGAACCAAATTAAAATTTGAAGTTAAAGGCTGTCCAGGTGACCCTAGTGAACCCAGGGTCAGCAGGGTGGGTTGGAACCTGTTAGTAAGGCAGCATTAAGATGCACTTCAAAAGCTACCTGAGTTTAGCTTTTAATGCAGAAACATTTGATGCTGATTTTAAATGTTGGGGCGTTAACAAAGGATGATGAGAATACAGGGTGGGGCAAAAGTAGGGTTATAGTTGTGAGTAGGCGAGACAGAGTTTATTCTTGTATTATTTTCCATACAAACAACTGTAAACCTACTTTTGCCGCACTGTGAATACGTTTGCTTTGGCTGTAGTTTAATACTGTTGCAGTCATTTTTATGTGAACTGCGTACCCTTTCTTCTTATAGTGTATTAGTTATTTTCAAACAACTGTCATGAATTCATTTAATTATAAAACTAAACTGTCGATATGTTTAATAAGTACAGCTTTTTATGTCATAGTAGTTATCTGCTTATATAGCTTAGTTGTTTGTTCATAATCTGAGAATGTAACAGATATAGAATTTACCCTAGTAAGCATGCAAAGCTTGCCTGTAGTCAGTTACCTTTAGTTTTTTTCCTCTTTGATAGGATCAGATGCAGTGAGAAGGCCTCAGATATTAAATAAAGTCTAATAATTAAGAGTGAAAAGTCACCCTGAAGGATACATCTAAGTAAGATCATCTGCTAAATTGGGAGGGATAAGTTTTTTTTTTCTGAAGAGAAACTGGAAATTCCTCCTTAAATTTGCTGTATTTATTCTTTATGCCCTTCTGAGGCCAGGGTTTAAAAATCATTTTTGCTTTCCCCATACGTATAGTTATGATTTGTGGCATTTTGATTAAAAATATATTCTGATTATTCCCTCAGAATTTTGCCCCTTCACCCCAATTTCTCTAAGGGTGTTTAAGGTTATAAAGAATGTTCCATGCCCTCACCTTAACATTCTGCCAATAATCGAATTCATTCTTTTCACCCCTTTT